GTCAGCCAGAAGGGCTCTATGGTTAAGGTCCTGGATAGCAGATACCTCTTCTAAATCTAGTTTATGTGCCTTACCTTTCCACGGCGACATGTTGTTTGGGAAAAACTTGGATGAATGTATTAAAAGAGCAGCTGAAGGCAAAAGAGCTTTTCTCCCGCAGGATCGTAAACCCAGAGGTTCCTTTCGATCCAAAAGATATCCAGACTATTTTTCCTTTCGAGATGCCAGATCTTACAAACCAGGAAGAGAGCATGGTAGATCCCAGCCTTGGAGAGGTGGACAGTCATCCAGAGGCGGTAAATCTAGAGGCACCTCATTCCACAAGAACCCCAGATCTTTATGACTGGTTTCCCCCCCAGTCAGTAGGTGTGGGGGCACGTCTGTTGCTCTTCCAAGACGTATGGGAATTATCCACCACAGACAGATGGGTGTTGGATATCATAAGAAGGGGATATCGTTTAGAATTTTTCAGAACCCCTCCAGCTTACTCCTTTCAAACTACCAAATGGCCAGGAGACGCAGCAAAAAGACAGGCCTTGAAAGATTTCATCTCGACGCTCCAGGAAGGAAATGTCATCATTCCAGTTCCTCAGCAACAACAAGGTCAAGGGTTTTACTCTCACCTGTTTCTCACCAGAAAAGCTTCAGGTGGTTGGAGACCTATCTTAGACTTAAGCAGGCTGAATCGGCATCTCCTCATCCGAAAGTTCAAGATGGAATCTATTCAATCCATCATAAAGGTCGTCTTTCTACTCCAATGGATGAATTCTATAGACTTGGCAGACGCTTATTTCCACATCCCCATCGCTCCAGAACATCAGAAATTCCTTCGGTTTGCGGTGGAACAAGGGCATTTTCAATTCCGAGCCCTGCCGTTTGGTCTTAGCACAGCTCCAAGAACATTCTCCAAGGTCTTGGTTGTTTTGATTGCGGAACTCAGGAAAAAGGGTATAGCCATTTACCATTACTTAGACGACATCCTCATCTTGGCAGAAGACACAGATACTCTTCAGACCCATGGACAGGTTTGTCTACGTTTTCTACGCCGTCATGGTTGGAAGATAAACGAGAACAAGAGCCAATTACAGCCGGTTCAGGAGATGAAATATTTGGGGGCCATATTCAACACTCTAGCAGGTACAGTGCAACTGTCTCCAGAAAGAGGTACGAAGTTGATGTACAAAGTCAAAGACATGTTGGCATCCAATGTAACCTCAGCAGAAAGATGCATGAGCCTATTGGGATCAATGTCCTCCACCATCGGGCTGACAAGATGGGCCCAGTGGAGGATGAGGATTTTCCAGAAGAACTTCATCCTTCAATTCAGATCGAAAAGTCCACTTCAGCCTATCAAGATACCCCCTCAGGTCCATCAATCTCTGATTTGGTGGTTACAGAAGAAATCCCTGTTCAGAGGGTTTCCATTGGGGAACATCACATGGACAGTTATTACCACGGACGCAAGCCAGTGGGGATGGGGTGCCCACCTACAAGATCAGTTTATCCAAGGGAAATGGTCCTTTCCAGTAACAGAGACTCCCTCCAACCAATTAGAGCTTCTGGCAGTTCTAAAGGCTCTAGAGAATTTCCTTCCCCTCATACGCTTCAAGTGGATCAAGATCAGATCAGACAATTCCACTGTAGTTGCCTACATCAACCATCAAGGGGGAACAAGGAGTCGGAAAATGATGTCCATCATGAAGCCCCTAATGTCCTTCTCCCAGAAGCATCTTGCGGGCCTATCAGCGATCCATCTTCCGGGAGTCCAGAATTCCATAGCGGATTACCTGAGCAGAGTGGAATTAGATCCAGGAGAATGGAGTCTGTCAAACAAGGTGTTCAAAGACATTTCTCAAGTATGGGGCATGCCACAAGTCGACCTTATGGCAACGCACAAGAACAGGAAGGTGCAGCACTTCTTTTCAAAAAGCATCGATCCCCAAGCATCAGGAAGGGATGCTCTTTCAATCGATTGGGATTTTCACCTAGGCTACGCATTTCCTCCTACGCCCCTCATCTTTCCTCTTCTGAGACGATTGAGGCAGGAGAAGGTATCCATCATCCTCATAGCCCCCTTTTGGCCTCGCAGGCCGTGGTTTCCTCTGTTGTTGAGCCTCTGCAGCGCAGACCCCTGGCAGCTTCCAAATATTCCGTCCCTTCTACATCAGGGTCCTGTCCTCCATCCAGACCCTGCCTCCCTCAAGCTGATGGCATGGAAATTGAAAGGGAAAGGTTGAACTGCAAGGGATTTTCCCATTCTGTCATTGAAACTCTACTGCAAGCAAGGAAACGCTCTACATCTTCCACTTACTACAGAATCTGGGACGTTTTTTCCTCCTGGGCTGCATCCAACCACAGGAATATTCAGTCTATCTCCACCAAGGAGATCCTTGAATTTCTACAATCCGGTCTTGATAAGGGTCTTAGCTACAATACCCTGAAGGTACATATTTCAGCTCTTTCGGCCCTTACGGACCAGAGATGGGCCTTAAACTCAGATGTGATCAGATTTATGGCAGCAGTATTGAAAATCAAGCCTCCTATCAAGCCCTTCGCTCCACCATGGGATCTTCCCTTGGTATTAAAGGCTCTGAGCAATTCTCCTTTTGAACCTCTTGAATCCATCTCTCCTCAGGTACTCACCATTAAGACGGTTCTATTGGTGGCCTTAGCCTCAGGTAGACGAGTGTCTGAACTCCATGCCTTATCTACGAAAGAGCCCTTTACAGTTTTTCATAAGGACAGAGTTGTTTTACGAACTGTTCCCGAATTTCGTCCTAAAGTGGTGTCGGCTTTTCACATCAACGAAGATATAATACTCCCGGCTCTTCATTCAGAGTCTTCTACTGAGAATGATGAATCTCTGCCTTCTCCATTGGATCTTGTTCGATGTCTGTCTGTCTATCTACAAAGATCTTCAGCCTGGCGGATCTCTCAAAGGCTATTCGTTATCCCCAACGGCCCCAGAAGAGGCCTTCAGGCTTCTAAAATGGCCATCAGTAGATGGATTGTTGCCGCCATCGTTCAGGCTTACCAAGCCTCAAAGATGAAGGTTCCGGAGGGGCTCAAGGCTCACTCCACGAGGTCCCTTTCCTCATCCTGGGCAGCAGCTGCTAATTTGTCACCCGAGCTGATTTGCAAAGCAGCCACTTGGTCTTCTCCAAACACGTTTATTAAGCATTACCAGATTGACGTTAAAGCCAGCCAATCAGACTCTTTTGGCAAATCAGTGTTATCCGCATTCTACAAGATCCCTTTCCTCTTCTTGGGCAGCAGCAGCTAAAGTTTCCCCAGAACTAATTTGCAAAGCTGCCACTTGGTCCTCCATGAACACTTTCATTAGACATTATCAAATTGATATAAGAGCCAGCCAGTTAGACCACTTTGGCAAATCTGTTCGATCAGCATCCAACTCTGCATAGGTTTGATTATGTCTATTATTTCACGTGTGAATTTTTTAATACACTGGCATTTCTGAAGTTTTTGAGTCTCTGTTTTTCTTTATTCCCTCCCTTGGTTATTGCTTGGGTATTACCCATTGTTGTGCTGCCATGGATATGGCCAGGAAAGATGAAAATTTATCCATACTTACCGTAATTTTCCTTTCCTGGTCATAGGCCATGGCAGCACTTAGATCCCGCCCTGGGATATTGCTGTTAACAAGACTAAGGGACCATTGGTGGGAGGGGGTATTTATACCCCTGATTTTAATTCTGTTCCTGTCTAATTAGGGATAGGGAGGAGCTAACCCATTGTTGTGCTGCCATGGCCTATGACCAGGAAAGGAAAATTACGGTAAGTATGGATAAATTTTCATCTATATATATATATATATATATATATATATATATATATATATATATATATGTATATATATATATATATATATATAAAAATTTGGTGTGTGTGTTTTCGAGACAATATAGCCGTAAACAAATCTAGCATATAATAACCATAACATCAATGAGTTTGCACCAGTCGGTTGTGGTGTGCGGGAACCGACAAAGCAGTAGGCCTGTAATAAAAGTGGGCAAAAAGAAAAACCATAAAACGTAATTCGGGTACCCAACTTCATTTATTAAGTCACAGAAAGCTTGTCTTAATTCTTTAACGGGATTAGGTATGTAGAGTGTGTAGGCGGAGGATTCCCAGCGTCCCATTGCCTTGATAATGTGAGTGGGTATCTGACTTAGCAGATGCTGTAGATGCTGCCCCTATATTTTAAAAGTATGTCCTATGGTGCTGGTTTTTGATTGTTTTAAGAATAGTACATAATAGGGATCGACCGATTATCGGTTTTACCGATATAATCGGCCCATATTCGGTATTTTCGGCAATATCGGTATCGGCCAATTCATAAATTCATAATTCCCAGTGTAAATCTCGCGAGTCCCGCGGCCGTCAGGCACTAAGGGCCGCGAGATTTACACTGGGAGGTGGAGCAGCTGCAGGGGAGGTAAGTAAACGCTACCTGCGCCCCCTCCCCCCCAGCTCAACCAATGCCACTGGACCACCAGGGACTGTCATATCCCCCCTCCCTGACCAGGTAACAAGCAGGGAGGGGGGACAACAAAAATAATAAAACATAACTATTAAAAATAAGCATAAAAAAATAAATATAAAAAATTTAAATAAACATAAATATTAAAAAATAAAATAAAACATTAAAAATTAAAATAAAAAAATGCCTCCCCCCACACCATTTTACACAAATCACATCCCTTCAGGAAAACACACACACACACACACACTGCATTATATACACACACACACTACACACTCTGTATATAACGCAGAATGTGTGTGTAGTGTGTGTATATAATGTGTGTGTGTGTGTGTGTTTAATGCACACACCACACACTGCATTATATACACACACACTACAAACACTGCATTATATACACACACACACACTGCAAACACTGCATCATATATACACAGACACTACAAACACTACATTATATACACACACTACACACTGTATTCATTATATACACACTATACAAACACACTGCATTCACTATACACACACTACACACACTGCATTCACTATACACACACTACACACACTGCATTCACTATAAACACACTGCGTTCGCTATACACACTAAACACTGCATTCACTTTATACACACACACACACACACACTCTGCATTCATTATATACACACTACACAGTCACTGCATTAACTATACACACACACCCTGCATTCATTATATATACACACTACACAAATATACACAGCTCCACTGTCTAAACACACTGCATCCAGTGCATGTGGCTTTTATATTTTGTGCAGTTACCTTTTAGAAATCGTTTATTTTTTTTCAAAATGGTAGATGTACAGAATATCGGCAAGTTATCGGTTATCGGCCTGAAAGTTAACAGATTATCGGTATCGGCTCTAAAAAAATCAATATCGGTCGATCCCTAGTACATAATGGTCGTTATGTTTTTGTAAGTCATTTGTTCTTAGGTAGTTGGGGGTTGTAATGGTCCTAGTCATAAATTCGTTGGGACAGAGGAACCCATAAAAAGCTAAATATAGGGCTGTCTTTATTACGGTTATAGTCATAGGTTCAAAAGGAGAAGAATCTAATAAATTGGTTAGTGAGTGGAATATGTTGTTGTCTATGGGTAATCGTTGTGAGGGGACGTGTGTGTCAAATTTTTTAATGCCTTTAAGTTCTGTTTTAATTTGATATGAGGTCAGGAAACCTGTAGCGTTGGGTTGTCAAATAAGCATGTGGTGCTGGATGCCCGTAAGGTACAGTTTTATAGTATTGAAGTATAATTTAAGGTTGATGTGAAACCTAATATTCATTCTAAAGCAAACATGTCATGGATGTGAAATTCAGTGATAAACTTCTTGAATATGTGAAAGGCCCTATCATATGTGTCCTTGGTGTTTACTGAAAGTGCGAGGTGAGAAATGTGACGTGCGTGATTTAACAAAGCCTTTAATCCATTATCATGTCTTGAGAAAGTGGAGTCGCCAGTCTGGAAGCGGTGGGTAGTGTCGAGAAGAAAGCCTGAAAACAAAACCGAGACAAGTGATCAGCATAGGTGTTTGTGTACCCTGGAATGTGGATACATCTGATAAAGAATTGACAGATGGCCGCCACCCAAGTGAGTCGTCTTAGGAGTCTCATGATTACCAGGGATGCCTTTATTGACCATGTGGCCATATTATCTGAGTAACACTTAACTGTGTGAACGGACCAATGTGGTCCCCAGGCAATGGCCGCCGCCATGATTGGGTACAACTCAAATAAAGTGGAGGTCTCAGAGAAGTTGGGTAGTGATTTGACTTCAGTCGGCCGTGGTCCCCAAAGCCATTGATCTCCCCAGATGGCTGCAAAGCCTATATTTGCTGCATCTGTCCACAGTGTAGGTGAAGTGTCAGAAGGGGGTGGTATGAACATGGCTCGCCCATTCCAAGAGGTGAGAAAAAAAGTGTCTGAGGTGAATTGTGGAAATAGGGATAGTAGATGGCAAATGAAGGATCTACCTTGTGGTATGAGCCTCATGGCAAAATTGAGCGACCCCAGCAGTGATTGCAGTTCTTTCCAGTTGCAACAACCTTGTAGTAGGTAGTGTTCAATACTTGCCAGGGTACGCTCAATCTTGTTCTGAGGGAGGCTAGCCTGCATGTGTACTGTGTCTAGTTGGATCCCCAAAAATTGCATGCTAGTGTCTGGACCCAATGTCTTGTGAGGGGAGACTGGGATAGTGAGGGATTCAAACAAAGCCATCATGTGTCTCAAACTACTTGGGGGGGGGAGTGTGTTGTTCTCAATCGTGAGGAAATCGTCCAGATAGTGAATAACCAAAGGATATTTACACACATTAAGTAATAACCAACACAAAGCTTCTGCAAACGTGTCAAAAATTTGTGGGCTGCTTTTGGAGTCAAAAGCGAGACGGGTGAAGAAATAATACAATCCCTGCCATTTAATGCCATGAAGATGCCATCGGGAAGGGTGCATGGGTAGTAATTTGAAGGCATTCACCATGTCCGTTTTGCTTAGCCATGCCCCTGTGCCCACGTTAAGGATGGCCCCTATGGCATGATCAATAGTGGCGTAGTGTAGTGAAAATTCTTCAGAAGGCATGAGTGAATTAAGGCTGGGGACAGTGGAGGAATGTGGTGCAGATAAATCAATGATCAGTCTAGGTTTGAGTGAAGTCTTCCTTGTGACAACCCCAATGGGGTTGGTTCTTCAAGATGTGAAGGGTGGTGAAAAGAATGGGCCCAACAGAAACTCTTGTTTCACCTCGGTCATGATAAGTGTGTGTACCAACTGTGGATCATCTAATGTGGATTGTAGGTTGTCAGACTCCAGCGTGCCGGTAGGTAAATGTACCAACCCGGTGTCAAATCCCTCAGTCCCATGATAAGGTAGTCAATAAAAAGGCGTGATGGGTGTTGTCGTAATAGTGTGGTTAATAATGTGAGGTTCACGCACGTATGATACAGTTTGGGAAAAGCTTTATTTGGGCACATTGTCTTGGAATGGGCCCTGAAACCATGGGAACATACATGCATCAACCTGCAAGAGCTGAAACCACAATTACCCACATTAAAATTGTTGCAAACTTGGGATTTGCCTAGAAATACAGTATCCCTACCCAGTTTGTCTTTTAATCCTCCAGCAGGTCTTTGGAAGTTAGAGGCAGTTTGGCTTTGTTCAATTTCTGCCGTATTTGGGCAGAAATTGGTGCTATGCGCTGTAGATGCACACACTGCACAAGCTGGGGGCCCCAAGGGCTGCAAAGTGCCTGCAGAATAACTCTGTGTCCAATTTGCTACAATTTATGCTTAAATTGAACTGAGTCAGAGCTGCAGCCACCTTTGCAGAAAAGGAACGGTAGTAATCGTAAAAAGTGGTACCACCGTATTTGTGCCCCAGATCCACCATCTTGTGCATGTATGCATCCAACTCCGCTCTTTTCTCCGGGTAAACAGAGCAGTAGACATACCTATAAATTCCAAACCCCAGCACAAATTCAGGGATGGACAATGTTTTCTTCAGCCGGGGGTCTCTTGCCCTTAGCACTACTGAAATATCCCCGTATGCAAAGGTTCCTGTTCTCTAGGACATCCTGGGAGGCAATGAGCAATGAAACCAGGTTTATGTCCCGTTAAACCCGGTGAGGTGAGAACAAACGGGCTGTGTGGATACCAGCGGCTGGCGGCAGAGGCAGGGAAGCACCGGACCAGGAGACCACGAGGAATACAGGTAAGAAAATAAAGATGGCAGTCTGAACCGGAAGTAAACGTTTCAGACTCGCCAGACCAGCAACAGCAAGGAAAGAGTGGATTGGCAGCCCTTTTAAATGGGATTCAAGCCCCTCCCACAACTACAGGCCAAGCCTTCAAAAAATAAAATAAAATATATATATATATATATATACATACACACACACAATCTCTGGCACTCACCAAAGGTTATGCTTAAATTCTACGTATATATTTATGTAATCATTTTACATAATAAAGTAATTTTATTAATTACAGTTTGAGGGACCTGCCTGACAACCCAAGCAGAAAGTCCACAGAATTTGGTCCGCAGGCCCTATATTTAACCCTGTAACTTCCCAAGACACCATAAAACCTGTATGTGGGGGGTACTGTTTTACTCGGGAGACTTCACTCAACACAAATGATAGTGTTTCAAAACAGTAAAATGTATTCCAACAATGATTAAAATGCCATTTTTTGCATTTTTCACACACAAACAGCACTTTCACTGACAATATTGTTGTGATATTTTTACGGTTTTGAAACACTAATATTGCTGAAGTGATCTGGGTGCCTATAGTGTCCTTTTAACTCTGTCATTCTACAGTAATGGCAAGGTTTACATTACAATGTTTCCAGTTGCAGGTTTAAAAAGGGGGAGGGCACATGGCACCCAGACCACTTAATTGAGATGAAGTGGTCTGGGTGCATATAGTTTTCTTTTAAGAATTCATCAAGGAACTGTTTTAACCTAAATTATACAGTGAGTAACACTGGAATTGTTTATATCTATTCTCAAATCTTCACAAAGTGTACTCCTCCTTCCTCCTTATTCACACAACTCCAGCTAGTTGAATCTTCCATCCTGCCCAGCTCTCAGTTCTTGTTGGCACTGCAAAGCCATTAAACCACTACTCTGCCAAGAATCCTTTGAGTGCTGGCATTAATGGTCCAGGCTGTCTGATTAAAAACTGGCAAAGAGAGTGCATGCATCTTAACCCTTTCATTAACAATTGCAATATCGTGGGCAAGGTTAAACTTAAACCCCTGTAAAGATGGATGCAGAGTGCTATTGCCTGTATGGTATGGGTCTCAAACTCCATTTACATGAGGATATATAAACACACACCACCCCCCATACAAAGATCCACACATACATTGTGTGGACACCTAACCATCACATCTGTATGCATTTTGCTACCATTCCAAAACCTGTGCATTTTGATTAAATTTCCTCCCCTCTTTGCCACTTTAACACCACCACTTTTCAGTGAAGGATTTCCACAAGATTATGGACAATGTCTATGGGAATTTGTGCCAATCAGCCAAAAGAGTATTTGTCAGGTCAGGCACTGATACTGGACGAGAAGGTATGGAGGCTCTCCTAGCATGGCCAAGCAGTGTCCTGAGGGGAAGAGTCAGGGGAAGACATTGTGCTGCCTGGGTTCAAGGATGAAATGCTGCCCCCCCCTCGCCTTGCACCAAAAGCACGCCAACATCCACTGCAGAGCGCATGAGGGCGCTGTACAGGAGGAGCACAGCATGTAAACTGCTAACTGTCCCAGGCTGAAGGTTGTTCTAAACAATGTATTTGGTGAGACCATTTTCTAAGACCACTGTTCTGGCTTTATATAAAACCATGCAATATCTTGTGAATTCACATTTTTGCTGAATATAAACTATTAAAAAATAGAGACAGAACTGTCAACAGTCATAGTCTGGGCAGCTTTGTTAGAGATCTTTATGAATTATTACTCCTATGACGAACACCAGCAGTAGCCTTCCAAGAAAATGTGTATGAGTTTTTTTACTTGAAGCCAAAAGGACATCCCCTCTGTGTTAGTCACTCCATCTCTTCAATGGAACAGGCCCTAGGTTTACTGGTCTAAATGATTTCCACTGTTTTTCTTCAGATGATAACAAAATCAAAATATTCCCCCATAGGCAAGATAAAATCCCTCTTTTACGAGAGGTTGCATCAGACATCTTGCAACTGATTTAGCAGGGTTACTGAAGAGCAATCTACATGGGGCTGCATCCACATCATGTAGAAAAACAAACTACATTATGAGCAATCATTTCTACCAGTAATCTTACAGTTTTATGGTAATATGCCAACTTTACTTAAAGTGATACTATAGTCACCAAAACAAATTTAGCGTAATGAAGCGTTTTTTGTGTATAGATCATGCCCCTGCAGTCTCTCTACTCAATTATCTGCCATTTAGGAGATAAATCACTTCTATTTCTGTTTATGAAGTCCTGGCCACACCTTCTCCGGGCTGCATGAAAAGAAAATGGTTTTGGAAATTGAATTTATACTTTTTTTTTTTTTAATCTCGTGCTCTATATATTGAACTTTAATTACATGCAGGAGACTCCTGCAGGGTCTAGCAAGCTATTAACAGACAGAGAGATTATAAATTAAACAGAATCTGCAGTAAAGGAAGTGTAAACATTAGATGACTTTACAGGCCGTGCATAGGAAGTCTGTGTAAGTCACATGCTGGGAGGCGTGCCTAGGGCTGCATAAGCAAAGTGATTTAATTCTTAAATAACAAATGAGCAGTGAGACTGCAGGGGCTTGATCTCTACACCAAAATGCTTCATTAACCCCTTAAGGACCCTTAAGGGGTTAAAGGACCACTATAGTGCCCTGAGGGTGCCCCCACTCCCGTGGCGCTGAAGGGAGAGGAAGGGGTTAATCCCTTACCTTTTTTCCAGCGCTGGGCTCCCTCTGCGCTGGGACTCTCCTCCCTCTTCTGATGTCATCGGCTGAATGCGCGGCAAGAGCCGCGCGCGTGCGCGCATTCAGCCAGTCCATAGGAAAGCATTCTCAATGCTTTCCTATGGACGCTGGCGTCTTCTCACTGTGAAAATCACAGTGAGAAGCGCGGAAGCACCTCTAGCAGCTGTCAATGAGATAGCCACTAGAGACTGGATTAACCCATAGGTAAACATAGCAGTTTCAGCGAAACTGCTATGTTTACAGCAGAAAGGGTTAATCCAAGATGGACCAAGCACCCAGACCACTTCATTAAGCTGAAGTGGTCCTTAAAGCTAAAGTTGTTTTTAATGACTATAGACTGTCCTTTTAAATTATTACATATAGTAAAACAAGCAGTAAAAGGTAAAATTCAGGTTTCTGCTGTTAATCCAAAAGAAGGCACATAAATTAATAGGACACTGTAGGCACTATAATCAATTAATTATATAGTGATTAGTCTCTTTGGTTGTACCTGGTTATGTGCAGAGAATGAAGCACGGAAGACCATGGAGACGAATTGTAAGTTTTCAAACACTGTCTGACCCAAGGTGCAAGTATATACTAAATGTAGGGATACTTTTTTTTTTTTTACACAATTCATTTATTAACAAAGAATATTTCCTTTCAAAACTGGAAGGATTATTTAAAAAAAAAAAAAGTTTTTAGGTGACAGTTGTCCTTTCAGGAATTAACCACACTTCCTTCTAGCAATACCAATTAATACTAGCAGTATTATTATATTGGCATTTACACAGCGCGTAACAATTATAAAATGGGAATATTTGGCAACAAATAATTTGCATACCGAATATAACAGAGTAGCAGCAGTGATAGGCAGAAAGCGGTCAACTGACACTTTCACCCAATCACAACCATCCATTTCTTCTCAGGCTTATTATTCTAAACAGCACAGAGATGATGGGCTACTTGGGACTCTTGTTTAGCATTTAAATTAAGTAAATTATTACAATGTACATTTGAAGCTATTTCTAGTTGGATACAAATGTTGTAGTTTGGATGACAAAAGACAAAGAAATGTCAAATAAAAAATGTTTCATAGGTCATTGATATTACATTGCAACTGTGTTTTGATGAAAATGAATACCATTAAATTGGGTAATAGTAAAAACCCCTGGATGTTGGGCTGAAATAGCATCCCCAGGACTATTTGAAAACCAGAGTAATCTGAATGTACCTTTCCTGGTTAAATAGTTTATTATTATACACTCCTCCACAAAGCGCTATAATTACATGGCTAAACTCACCAAACTATACAT